AAAGGAAGGTTTGGCTAAAGTCTGTGCTGAAACGAAGCTGACGTGGGTGGCAGCCCTGCCAAAAGTGCTGTATGGGATAAGATCATGTCCTAACTCTAAGTTAGGGATAAGCCCCCATGAGGTATTAACGGGAAGAAAGATGCCTTGTCCGTTAACAACCACTTTGCCTACCACTGTCAGCCCATTGCAGTACCAACATGTGGAAATATCTGACTATATGAGAATGTTGAATAATACTGTGATGAGTTTCTCTCAACAGGTGACAGAGATCCTTTCTGGAGAAGAAGAAGGAGAGGGTGCACCAGTGGAGGTGGATGACTGGGTACTACGGAAAGTAGCCAGATTCAGTTGGACTGATCCCCGCTGGGAAGGTCCATACAAAGTTGCAGAAGTAACCACGCACTGTGTGAAAGCGTGGTTAAAAGAGGACAAATTAAGTAATTGGATACACAAAACGCACTGCGCTCGCTCTCTCCCGCCAACAGAAAGAACCCTGGCTGATGTCAGGATAGGCTTGTCCCTGCTGTCCAAGGAAGTACAGTCAGATTGTGTCGAACCCATTGTTCGTCCAGAAGAAGAGCCCGAGGAGGGGGACGAGCCCAGATATCGGTTAAGATCGAGGAATATAGAGTAAACGAGACTCAGAACACCGGTGTCAGTAAACTAAGGAGCCGCTACTCCGTTTTCGTTGCTAAAAGAGGGAGTCGTTTTTAGGCTCCCCATAAGGAATTAATCCCTTGAGGTGGAAGAAAGCATCTCTCAACAATCAGTGCAGTAAAAGTAATTTACATCTCAATAAAAGTATCTTGCATTCTAAAAGTTGATCAAGCTCTGAAATCATGAGAACTCCTCTAGGATGTACTGGGGCTAACATAGGATTAGTACTCCTTTTCATTACTCTGATAGTGTTTCTGCCTTTTCTCTGGTGGGAATTACAGCTGAAGAACTTAGAACAGAATGTTAACAATCTGACCACGTCTCAGGTAGAAGCAGAAGACCAAAATAGCAGGGGACTCCAGCGGAGTGGAGGGGATATGATGTATACATGTGTCTGTTCCCCTGGGGGAGGCTCATAAAACATTGGTGTACATCCTGGGACATGGTAGGATGGAACACAGGCCCATATGGTTACACATCGCCTTCTTTCAAGAGACAGTGGGGTAGTAGAACTCCGGGTGTGGATTTACAAAAAGCCATTACACTGATTCGAGATCAATCGGGGGCTCGGGATAAGGGGCACAATCCTTTAATGATTTCTGTGACTGGATTAGCAGGGTCACCATTTGCTCCAAGAGCAGTGGGCACCTATTACGGTATGAGTCATGAGAAGAGTGATCCTACGCAGTGGTACATGGTTATAGGAGTAGATGTAGCCGATAAAGATCCATTGGCTTTGATTAAATTTAAATACGTGTCACCTGACATTGAGGGGAAACCCACTACTGCTGAGGCTGAAGAAGTCACTGAGAACCCCAAGGGCCAAAATATAGCAAAAGATCTAGCTGTGATACACGACAAACTTTCCGCAGAGACGGGGTTCTCCCAGACAAATTACTGGGTGGATTGGATCACAACTGCGTCCCAGCAAATGGACTCCGCTGACTGTGTGGTCTGTGCAGGCGCAAGACCCAGCCTATGGACAGTGCCCTCGGTCCTTAGCCAGGCCGGTAACATTGACTGCCTGATAGAATTACATACTAAAGAGAATCCAAGTGAAGGTTGCAAGTCGTGGGTAACTATTTTTCCAGGATCACAACCACAAGCAATCCCTCTCATGTTCACTCCCATAAGTGGCGATTATACCTGTTTCACTAAGCATCTTAAAGGGGGACTGAACGTAGGTTCCTTAACCGATTCATGGTGCAATGTGACATTTGATGTAACCACTTGGACAAATATGACCAAATTGACCCAGGCCCGCTCTGATATCTACTGGTACTGCGGCGGTAGCAGATTACTTAATGTACTGTAGTAATGCACCTCAGTTTCCCTCATCGTTCCGCTTAAAATAGTTCCAATAACCGCTGAAACATTGAGTAACGAGGCAAAAAGGCGTAATTCATTCAGTCGCAGTAAAAGAGAATTTAGCTTAACAGAAGGATCCCCTGTTTATTTCGATGCTATTGGGGTGCCGAGAGGGGTACCTGATCAATACAAGTTAACGGATCAGATAGCGGCCGGATGGGAATCATTGTTCGTTTTTATAACTGTAAACAAAAATGTGGATTGACTAAATTATGTACATTTCAATATCCACCGACTCACCAATATGACGAGAGATGCTCTGGAAGGGGTGCACAGCCAACTATCGGCCACCTCATTGATGACTTACCAGAAACGGATTGATTTGGATATGTTATTAGCTGAAAAAGGAGGAGTGTGTGCGATGTTTGGCCAAGTGTGCTGCACTTTTATCCCCAATAACACCGCCCCAGATGGATCCTTTACTAGAGCATTACACGGACTAAGAGCCATGTCTATTGAATTAGCTGAACACTCTGGTATAGACGGCACCGTCGGTAATTGGTTTGATAAACACTTTGGACAGTGGAAGGGCTTCTTCCTGTCAGTTTTTCTGACCTTAGTAATCGCAATAGTGGTTTTTGCCCTTTGTGGATGCTGCTGCATCCCCTGTATCAGACAACTATGTCTCCGATGCGTCACCTCTGCAATAGATGCTAAAATACCCCTGCCATACCAGATGGTTTTGTTACATGGCACACTTCAGAAGCGACGGTGACGGTAAGCGTGTTGTGTCACTTCCTGTTGCCAGCGTGTTTGATGTAATCGAACTTTTCACAGCTCTAGCTATACTGAGTTGACTGTAGCGTGAAATTTTTTATCACAAACAGTGAATTCTTATCTATGTGAGGCGCTGTTAAACGCCTCACCGCCTAGCAAATTTTCGCTCCATCGAATAGTTGCTTGGACGTTGTTTAGCGTCAACGTTACTTCTATTAGCGTTAGCATTGGCTTAGCAGCTAACCTGATGATGTCTTCCCTCCCTACCTCTCCTGCTCTTTCTTGCTCGGTGTGTCACATGTTTAGCTATTCCTCTGCCTCCCTTACGGACAATGGTATATGTAAGAAGTGTAGTATATTTGATAAATTGGAGGCGAGGCTTAGTGAGCTAGAATCACGGCTCCGCACCATGGAAGCTCAGTCGTTAGCCGCTGTAGTTACCCCGCCCACCCCCGTAGCCAGTGCGGGCCACATAGATGTAGCGTTCGCTCCTGCTAGCCGTCCCCCGGCAACCCCCGAGCAGCCGGGAGGCTGGGTGACTGTCCGGAGTAAGCATAAGTCTAAGTCGAAGCACACGGTTAACCACCAACCACTTCACGTTTCAAATCGCTTCTCCCCACTCGGCGACACACCCACTGAGAAGCCAACTCTGGTGATAGGTAGCTCCATTCTGAGGAACGTGAAGTTAGCGAAACCAGGGACCATAGTTACATGTATACCGGGGGCCAGAGCGGGCGACATTGAGTCTTATCTTAAACTGCTGGCTAAGGATAAACGTAAATACAGTAAGATTGTAATACATGTCGGCGGTAATGACTCCCGATTACGTTGCTCGGAGGTCACTAAAGTTAATGTGGAATCGGTGTGTACATACGCTAAAACAATGTCGGACACCGTAGTTTTCTCTGGCCCCCTCCCAAACTTGACAAGTGACGACATGTACAGCCGCATGTCGTCATTCCGCCGCTGGTTGTCGAGGTGGTGCCCAGTAAATAATGTGGGCTTCGTTGATCACTGGAAGACTTTTTGGGGAGAGCCTGGTCTGATTAGGAGGGACGGCATCCATCCCACTTTGGATGGAGCTGAACTTCTTTCTAAGAACCTGACCCAGTTTCTTAGTGGACTTAATCCATGACCCAGAGTTCAAACCAGGGAGTCGCAGTCTTACACACTTCTCTGCGCTTCAATCTGAGCAGTCACTCAGCATAATGAACCCTATAGAGACCTTGTCTGCCCCACGGACACAGTTATCTAAGTTAAATGTGATGGGTAGAGCTCTCCCCTTCCCCCCCCTGCCTGTTTGGCCACACCACCTTAATTGGTGATGCCTAACAGGTGTGACCAGGTGCTCTTTAAATGGGAGCTTTTGCCCCACTAGAGCTAGAGGGGGGCTTGCTGTAGGTCTCCCACGGCATAGGCACAGCACTCGCCACGTGCGGATAGGTTTGAGCGGAATCTAGAGGTATGTCAGGGGTTTTCTGTTTCATGTTTTAATATGCTTTTTAGCAGTGAAATGTTTATTGGCGTTATTTACCTTTTCTTTCTTTTATACAGGAAATGATCAGGTGGTGCAACGCTGAGCCTGGTCACTGCTGTTTTTGCCTTTGATTTAAAATAGATTATGGTTACCCGGTTTATATAGTATCTTTGATTATGAATTGCGAATTTGTTTTCTTTCTGGGTTAGTGTCTTTGTTTTGTCCTACATGAACAACCATTACTGCGCCCTATACTGGGGGTCCCTTTAATGCCAGTGCAGGTGGGCATATAGTAGGCCTACAGGGGGTGGCTCACGAGGTGGAAGGCCCTTTCGGTTTATTTTGTTTGTTTGCTGTGTTTTAATTCCTTTTGATTTGCTGTGTTTTCTTCCCTTTGACCTGGTGGTGGCCCCCTTGTCCCCTTTCACTCCCCCGCCCCGGTGGGCCTCAAGTAGTCACCTTATACTGGTAGGGTACCCCAGTATAGCAATCTTTTTTTAAAGCATAGATTATATCTTGCCATAAAACCGACCAATGTTTCTGGATTGATTATTCCTTTTCTTTTAAATATTAAACCTACTTGTAAATAAAAAAACATTGTTACAAAACTGGAACTTCACCTCTCTGCTCCCCTTTCTTTTTCATTACAACTGATATACTTTGGGTGAGAGCCCCAAAGTGACGTTGTCACCCTTGTGACCAGGCGAACGGCCGCCCCGGTTACAAATTGGCGTTGCTGGCAGGACTCTTTTTATTTTTTATTTTTATTATTATTTTTTTTTAGAGCAGAGACGTGTCCTTCTAGTTCACTTTTCTGACAGTTGCTTTATGTAGGACCCCCCCATGTGTATATTTTTCGGATAGCTTACTATTTATTTCTTTTTGGGCAAAAACAGCAGTTGGCCAAAAGTTCTTCTTAAAGAGGAAGAGGAACCTGTATCCCTGTTGGCTCCCAGGTGCCAAAACCACCCAAGTCTATAGAAATGGAGGAAGGCCAGCTGGACTTACGGGACTTGGTGATTCAACTCCGGGCTCAAAATGAACAACTTTCACAAGAACTTTCAGCAACGCAAGCACGTCCAGCAAGCTTGACTCCTGGCTCTTCTGAACTCCCTGGCCCCTCTGGATCTGCTGGTCTCCCAGGGGCAGCGCCTGAACGCCTACTCTACATCCCCAGAGAAAGGAAGTGCCCCATGTTTAGGGGGAATGTGGGTATAGGAGTGGTAGAATGGGTCGAAGAGGTCCGTGCTAGCATGCGGGCCAGGCATTTAACTCGCATAGATCAGGCCTATTTCATTTACGATCATTTGGAGGGGTCTGCCAAAGATGAGATCAAGTATAGGCCCCAGCAAGATCGTGAGGATCCAGAGAAGGTTTTGACTATACTACAGGAAGTGTATGGATGTTCACTGTCTTATGTTGCTTTACAGAAGGATTTCTTCTCCAGAAAACAGCTAGAGGGTGAGTCGTTGCAGGACTACTCTCATGCGTTATTTGAGCTTATGGAAAAAATCATGAGGAATGCTCCTCAGGCTATACCTAACTCTGCCATTCTATTGAGAGATCAGTTTGTGGAACATGTTAATGATTCAGATCTCCGCAGAGCTTTAAAACAAGTTGTACGTGCTAAGCCATTAGTTACCCTCTTGGATGTGCGAGGGGAGGCAGTCAGATGGGAGAGGGAAGGTAGACAGCTGGAAAGTAGGCCCCGCAGTTTTTCCGTCCCCTCCATCTGTGCTACCCACCTTTCAAGGGTGTCTGAGCAGACGAGTACCTCATCTCAAAGTGAAATGGCGGAGATAAAAGAGATGCTTAAAGCACAACAAGAACAAATTAACCAGCTTTCCACCCACCTCTTGCAATTACAGAACCCCTCCAAATGGTCTCGGCCTTCGAATACAGGCCCTGTTCTCTGTAGACGCTGCCAGCAGCCAGGGCATTTTGCTCGTAATTGCGATAATGCAAGGGTCCCTTTTCAGCAACAGCGCCCCCAGGCGCATCCTATGCAAAGGGCAACTGCTCAAAATCAGCAGTCGGAAAACTAATGCCCTCTGTTTTGCAGAACCACGATTCAGAAGGGGCCATTACAGGTTCATGTTATCCAGTGGATGAACAGTGTCTCTCTCAACTTGTTAGTCCTTGTCCACATGTTGCAGTGGTCATTGGTGGGGTTGAGGTAGACTGTCTACTGGATACGGGGTCAATGGTCTCCACAATTAAGGAGTCCTTTTTCCACCAGCATTTTGACAACTCTCCCCAGGCATGCCAGTGGCTACAACTTACAGCAGCTAATGGACTTAGCATTCCATATGTGGGGTATGTAGAGCTCGATGTTTCTGTAATGGGTATAGTTATTCCCAAAAGGGGGATTCTAGTGGTTAAGGATCCTCCTGGTTCTTTGCCCGAGAAGGCCAGCTGGACTTACGGGACTTGGTGATTCAACTCCGGGCTCAAAATGAACAACTTTCACAAGAACTTTCAGCAACGCAAGCACGTCTAGCAAGCTTGACTCCTGGCTCTTCTGAACTCCCTGGCCCCTCTGGATCTGCTGGTCTCCCAGGGGCAGCGCCTGAACGCCTACTCTACATCCCCAGAGAAAGGAAGTGCCCCATGTTTAGGGGGAATGTGGGTATAGGAGTGGTAGAATGGGTCGAAGAGGTCCGTGCTAGCATGCGGGCCAGGCATTTAGCTCGCATAGATCAGGCCTATTTCATTTACGATCATTTGGAGGGGTCTGCCAAAGATGAGATCAAGTATAGGCCCCAGCAAGATCGTGAGGATCCAGAGAAGGTTTTGACTATACTGCAGGAAGTGTATGGATGTTCACTGTCTTATGTTGCTTTACAGAAGGATTTCTTCTCCAGAAAACAGCTAGAGGGTGAGTCGTTGCAGGACTACTCTCATGCTTTATTTGAGCTTATGGAAAAAATCATGAGGAATGCTCCTCAGGCTATACCTAACTCTGCCATTCTATTGAGAGATCAGTTTGTGGAACATGTTAATGATTCAGATCTCCGCAGAGCTTTAAAACAGGTTGTACGTGCTAAGCCATTAGTTACCCTCTTGGATGTGCGAGGGGAGGCAGTCAGATGGGAGAGGGAAGGTAGACAGCTGGAAAGTAGGCCCCGCAGTTTTTCCGTCCCCTCCATCTGTGCTACCCACCTTTCAAGGGTGTCTGAGCAGACGAGTACCTCATCTCAAAGTGAAATGGCGGAGATAAAAGAGATGCTTAAAGCACAACAAGAACAAATTAACCAGCTTTCCACCCACCTCTTGCAATTACAGAACCCCTCCAAATGGTCTCGGCCTTCGAATACAGGCCCTGTTCTCTGTAGACGCTGCCAGCAGCCAGGGCATTTTGCTCGTAATTGCGATAATGCAAGGGTCCCTTTTCAGCAACAGCGCCCCCAGGCGCATCCTATGCAAAGGGCAACTGCTCAAAATCAGCAGTCGGAAAACTAATGCCCTCTGTTTTGCAGAACCACGATTCAGAAGGGGCCATTACAGGTTCATGTTATCCAGTGGATGAACAGTGTCTCTCTCAACTTGTTAGTCCTTGTCCACATGTTGCAGTGGTCATTGGTGGGGTTGAGGTAGACTGTCTACTGGATACGGGGTCAATGGTCTCCACCATTAAGGAGTCCTTTTTCCACCAGCATTTTGACAACTCTCCCCAGGCATGCCAGTGGCTACAACTTACAGCAGCTAATGGACTTAGCATTCCATATGTGGGGTATGTAGAGCTCGATGTTTCTGTAATGGGTATAGTTATTCCCAAAAGGGGGATCCTAGTGGTTAAGGATCCTCCTGGTTCTTTGGCCGAATCTGACGTTCCTGGTGTCTTAGGCATGAATGTATTACGTGAATGTTATGCAGAGTTGTTCGGGCAACATGCCTCACCCCTTTTTGATGTCTCACTTGTGAAAGAGGCCCCTGAGGCATGGAAGAAAGCTTTCCAAAAGTGTCACGAGAGCCGGGCCAGACCTGCAACAGGTGCCAGTGGAGTTGCTAGGGTGAGGGGGAAACATCCAGTCTACATACCCGGGGGGACAGTTAAATTGGTGGCCGCGACCTGTCCGCAGAGGTGTCTCCCACCTTTCCAGGCTTTGTTTGAACCTTTTGCCAACCAAGAAGCTCTTCCTGGTGGTTTGTTAGTATCTCTTGCGATGGTCACAGTGCATCATGGTACTGCTTACATCCCAGTTGTGAATGTTGGTGACACTGATGTTAAACTTTACCCCCGCTGTGCCCTAGGGATGCTAAACGAGGCCCAGATAGTGAGTTTACCTACAGGCATCAACGAGGTTCCCAGGAAGCCAGCAGGAATGGGTACCCTGGCGACCATGAGTTCTCAGACGGGACAGGTGAAAAACATCTCTGATACACTAGCTTCTCTTGATCTTAGCAATGTTCCAGAGACAGAGCAGGCTGGGATACGGTCCATGTTTGAGAAACATCATGCTGTTTTTTCGGCATTTGAAGGGGATCTGGGATGTACTAACCTTATAGAGCATGAAATCCCATTGCTAGATGATGTGCCTGTGCGACAGAGGTTTAGGAGAATCCCCCCCTCAGATTACGATTCTGTTAAAAATCATATCAACCAGCTCTTAGAGACCCAGATAATCCGAGAAAGTTGCAGTCCATACGCGTCCCCAATAGTCCTCGTCAAAAAGAAGGATGGAAGCCTACGGATGTGTGTGGATTATCGTCAACTCAACAGCAAGACACGCAGGGATGCCTTTCCTTTACCTCGGATAGAGGAGTCCCTCGATGCCCTGGCAGGAGCACGTTGGTTCTCAACTATGGATTTGGCAAGCGGCTATAACCAGGTACCGGTCGCAAAGAAAGATAGGGCAAAAACAGCCTTTTGTACACCTTTCGGCTTGTTTGAGTTTAACCGCATGCCCTTCGGCCTCTGTAATGCGCCTGGTACATTTCAAAGGTTAATGGAACGGATCTTTGGTGCACAGCATTTTCAGACACTGTTACTATACCTGGATGACGTGATTGTCTTCTCTTCCACAGTAGATGAGCACTTAAAGCGCCTCGATGCCGTGCTGTCTCGCTTGCAACAGGAGAAACTGAAAGTAAAGTTCGAGAAATGCTGCTTCTTTCGCACGGAGGTAAACTATCTTGGTCATGTGATTACCGAAGATGGCGTGGCCACAGACCCAGGAAAATTATCAGCTGTGGCAAATTGGCCGAGACCAACAAATGCAACGGAGTTAAGGTCATTTTTAGGTTTTTGTAGCTACTATCGACGTTTTGTGGAGGGTTTTGCAAAAATCGCAGCCCCCCTACATCGCCTTGTAGCCAACATGATAGACGCTCGCACAAAAAAAGCATCTCGGAAGATAATTGGGGAGCTTTGGACTGAACAATGTGAGAAGAGCTTCCAGGACCTTAAATCCAGATTAATTAGTGCCCCTGTGTTGGCGTATGCTGATTTTTCTCTGCCTTTCATTCTAGAGGTGGACGCTAGCCTCAGTGGATTAGGGGCAGTGCTTTCTCAGGAGCAGGATGGAAAAGTGAGGCCGGTAGCATATGCCAGCAGAGCGAAACATGCCCAATTACAGCTCCATGAGGCTTGAGTTTTTGGGCCTAAAATGGGCAATGGCTGAAAAATTTCGGGACTATTTGTTGGGTCAAAAATGTGTTGTATGGACTGATAACAACCCACTTAGCCATTTGAGCACTGCAAAGCTGGGGGCAACAGAACAGCGGTGGGCGGCTCAACTAGCAGCTTTTGACTTCTCCATTAGGTATCGCTCGGGTCGCTCTAATGTTAATGCTGACTCCCTTTCCAGGCAGCCTCACCATGGCAATACACCGCCAGATCTGGGGACATTCCTTCCAGGAACCGCCCTCCCAGAATTCCTGATGAACAAGGTTGACCCTTCAGTACAGGTAACCCAGATGTCAGTGTTTGCCCTTCCGTCTCACACCCCAGATTACCTTGCCACCCTCCAGCTCCAGATGCAGAATGCAGATCCAGTGTTGAGAAGCTTCCTTCAGTTTTGGCGCTGCAAACACCCCCCAGACAAGAAGGAACGCCAGGCTCTTTCGAAACCAGTAAAGGAACTGGTGCGACAGTGGAATAGGATGGTGGAGAGAGATGGGCTCCTATATCGTCGCATTCACCGTCCGGATGGTGGAGAAGAAATTCATCAGCTGCTGCTGCCAGCCTCCCTGCGGGAGGAGGTGCTTCAACAACTGCATCAGGGTCATGGACATCAAGGAGTGGAGAGAACTACTAATCTGGTAAGGCAGCGGTGCTACTGGCCAGGTCTGTATAAGGATGTCAAGGACTGGTGTCAAAAATGTGAACGATGCACCCTGGCCAAACCCGTATACCCTGCTGTGAGAACACCCATGGGCCATCTGGTAGCTTCCCGACCGAATCAAATTTTAGCCATTGACTTTTCTCTGCTGGAACGTGCTCGCGATGGAAGAGAACAAGTTCTCATTATGACCGATGTCTTCTCCAAATTCACTCAAGCTGTCCCGACCCGTGATCAAAGGGCCTCCACTGTGGCAGGGGTACTGGTCCGGGAATGGTTTTATAGGTTTGGGGTGCCAGCCCGAATACATTCGGATCAAGGCCGGAACTTTGAGAGCTTGTTAATCCAGCAGCTGTGCAGTTTCTATGGCATAAAAAAAACACGCACCACGCCATACCACCCCCAGGGGAATGGCCAATGTGAGAGGTTTAATAGGACCTTACATGGCCTATTACAGGCCCTTCCACCTGTCAAGAAGCCAGATTGGCCCAGCTACCTCCCACATGTTACCTTCTCCTACAACACAACCACCCATCAAACCACTGGTGAGTCACCATACCTTCTAATGTTTGGCCAAGAACCCCAACTTCCTGTTGATTTTCTCCTTGGCAAGATTCAGGAACCAATTGGAGGTACTATCGGTGATTGGTTGCAAGAACACCAAATGCGCCTCCAGACTGCCTTTGATGGGGCCAAGGAAAGGATCCAAGCAGCAGCTCGCCTCAGGAAGGAACGACATGACCAGCATGTGGCTGGTGGCAACCTGACAGAGGGTGAAATGGTCTACTTGAAAGACAACAGTGCTCGAGGCAGAGTGAAGATCCAGGACATTTGGGGTCCCCGGAGGTACAAAGTTGTCAAGACCCCTTCTGATGGTGGAGCAGTGTATTCTATCGCACCCCTGGATGACGCAGGAAAAATCAAGCATGTCCATAGAACTCTCCTGCGACCAATCCCACTAACCATCCCTATAAGTGAGCCAGACTCTGGGGAGCAAGGGAGATCACCTACCAATGAAGGAGATTGCGAACCGAATGGTGAATGGTGGATTGTCCCCCAACCAGTGACAGCTACGCTAGAGCCCTTGGTTTCCTGCCCTCAACCACCTGCACCAGCCGAATCTATTGCTGGCACCATATCCCCAGTGGATGTGGATAATGATGACCCTATGGAAGGATCCAGTACAGTGCCTCTTCGTCGAAGCCAGCGTGAGACAGCAGGGAGACACCCAAACCCCCATAATCTCCCTGTGCCAGCATGGAGAAGCGGGAGAGAGGCTGCAACTTCTCGGGTAACTGGGTCGGGTAATATGCTCTCTGCCACTCCTAGGCTGTGGAAGTAGTTTTCCTTAAAGCAGTGTTTTATATTTTTGTTTGCTTGTTGCTTGTTTTTTATTATCGGCGGGTCGCCGACAGAAAATGGGGGGTAGATTGTGATGGGTAGAGCTCTCCCCTTCCCCCCCCTGCCTGTTTGGCCACACCACCTTAATTGGTGATGCCTAACAGGTGTGACCAGGTGCTCTTTAAATGGGAGCTTTTGCCCCACTAGAGCTAGAGGGGGGCTTGCTGTAGGTCTCCCACGGCATAGGCACAGCACTCGCCACGTGCGGATGGGTTTGAGCGGAATCTAGAGGTATGTCAGGGGTTTTCTGTTTCATGTTTTAATATGCTTTTTAGCAGTGAAATGTTTATTGGCGTTATTTACCTTTTCTTTCTTTTATACAGGAAATGATCAGGTGGTGCAACGCTGAGCCTGGTCACTGCTGTTTTTGCCTTTGATTTAAAATAGATTATGGTTACCCGGTTTATATAGTATCTTTGATTATGAATTGCGAATTTGTTTTCTTTCTGGGTTAGTGTCTTTGTTTTGTCCTACATGAACAACCATTACTGCGCCCTATACTGGGGGTCCCTTTAATGCCAGTGCAGGTGGGCATATAGTAGGCCTACAGGGGGTGGTTCACGAGGTGGAAGGCCCTTTCGGTTTATTTTGTTTGTTTGCTGTGTTTTAATTCCTTTTGATTTGCTGTGTTTTCTTCCCTTTGACCTGGTGGTGGCCCCCCTTGTCCCCTTTCACTCCCCCGCCCCGGTGGGCCTCAAGTAGTCACCTTGTACTGGTAGGGTACCCCAGTATAGTAATCCTTTTTCAAAGCATAGATTATATTTTGCCATAAAACCGACCAATGTTTCTGGATTGATTATTCCTTTTCTTTTAAATATTAAACCTACTTGTAAATAAAAAAAACATTGTTACAAAACTGGAACTTCACCTCTCTGCTCCCTTTTCTTTTTCATTACAACTGATATACTTTGGGTGAGAGTCCCAAAGTGACGTTGTCACCCTTGTGACCAGGCGAACGGCCGCCCCGGTTACATAAAGGTAAACAACCGAGGAGTTGTAGTAAATAACTTAATTCAAGTTAAAACTAATAATGCAATAGTGCAACAAAATAGGAGAATTAAAGGGGGTCTTTTGAATATCAGATCTGTCATCTAAAGCTGTTTTGGTAAATGAACTAATATCAGATCACCATGTTGATGTATTTTGTCTTACTGAAACGTGGTTGTTGAATGGGGAATATTTCTGCTTAAATGAAGCGAGTCCTCCGAGTCATGTTAATACTCATATTCCCCGAGGCACAGGCCGAGGGGGGGGAGTGGCAGCTATTTATGACTCCTGCCTTTTAATAAACTTTAAACCTAAGGTGGATTATAACTCATTTGAAAGCCTGGTTTTCAGTCTTTCGCAACCGACCTGGAAAATAATCCAGCCGGTTCTCTTTGTAATAGTGTACAGGG